GGATATGGGACACAGGGACATGGAAACGTGATGACACAGGAATGCGGGGACACAGGGACATGGGAACAGGGGGGACATGGGAATGCAGGAGACACAATGACACGGGGACGTGGGAGAATGTGACCACAGGTGTCACGGCCACCACGGGGCCACCTCCTGACGTGTCCCCACCTCGTCCCTCAGGGGGTCCCTACGGGGCCGTGGGGGTGGACCTGGCCTTCGAGAAGCTGCTGTGCCACATCTTCGGCGACGATTTCATCGCCACCTTCAAGGCGCGGCGTCCGGCGGCCTGGGTGGACCTGAGCATCGCCTTCGAGGCGCGGAAACGCGCGGCCGCCCCGAGCCGCTGCAGCCCCCTCAACGTGTCCCTGCCCTTCTCCTTCATCGACTTCTACCGCAAGCACCGCGGGCACAACGTGGAGACCGCGCTGCGCAAGAGCAAGTGAGCCGGGGACAGCGCAGGGACAGCGCGGGGACAGCGCGGGGGTGCGGGGACAGCGCGGGGACAGCGTGTGGGGACACCACGGGGTGCGGGGACAGCGCGGGGACAGCGTGTGGGGACACCACGGGGTGTGGGGACACTGCGGTGGTGCAGAGGTACCAACCGGAGACATCGCAGGGGTGCGGGGACACCTTGCGGGGACACTGCGGGGTACAGGGACAGCACGAGGGGACACCGCGGGGGCGCGGGGATACCGCAGGGGCGAAGGGACAGAGCGTAGGGACATTGCGGGGGTGGAGGGACACCGCCGGGGGCGCGGGGACAGCATACGGGGACATTTCAGGGTGCGGGGACACCGCCGGGGGCACAGGGACAGCATGCGGGGACATTTCAGGGTGCGGGGACACTGCGCGGGGACACCGCGGGGACACGGGGACAGTGTGCGGGGATGGCGCGGGGACATCGGGACACCGTGGAAGCGCAGGAACATCGTCCGGGGACATCGTGGGGTGTGGGGACACCGGGGACACAGCGGGGTGCGGGGACACCGGCTGGGGACATTGCAGGGGCGTGGGGACACTGTGCTGGAACGCCACGGGGGTGCGGGGACACCATCCGGAGACATCACGGGGGTGCGGGGACACAGCGGGAGCGCGGGGACACCGTGTGGGGACATCGCGGGGACACCACGGGGACGCGGGGACACGGAGGGAGCGGCGTTTGGGAGGAGAGAGGGCAAGAGAAGGGGACGGGGTTGGCGGGGGACAGAGGGACAGGGAAGGAGCAGGCGGGACGCCCTGGTGACACCCGGGTCCCCTGGCTGTCGCCAGTGTCAACCTGGTGAAGTGGTCGTCGCAAGGGATGCTGCGGATGTCACCCGAGGCCATGAACGAACTGTTCCAGCCCACCATCGGCCACATCATCCAGCACATCGGTGCGACATGGGGACA